ATTGCCAAGTTGGCAGAAATTGCCATTTTTAGTGCGCTTTTCATCTTCTCTAACACGCCGTGCCAATGGTGTAGCGGGGAGCAGCCGAGCTGGGGAAGTAACATCATCTGATCCCATCCATTATGGGAGAGGCTCGGGTGATGCTGTTGAGATGTGGCAATGATGCTGTAAAACCCAGCTGGAAAAAGGGGATTAAAAGGAGCAAAATCCAGGAGGAATTTGTCATCCTCCAGGGGATCAGCCCTTCGAAATATAATTTCCAGGGTGTCTGCCCATGCCTTGGTGCCATGGTCTGGCACAGGGGTATGGGGGGATACTGCAGCATCCCCAAGACAGTGCACGACACAATGTCCAGAGAGGCTTGTTAGAGCACCAGGCTCGCCCAAAAGAGCCAGGAAATGGGAAAAAATTGAGGTGGATCCCTCCAAAGCCAGGAACAGTGGGAGCTGAAGGGCACTGCCCTGCGTGGGGTGGTCCTGCCCTCCCTTGGGACCCATCTGGAGGGTGACGGCACGGCGTGCCCCGAGCCAGCTCCTGCGCAGCTCAGGGTTTTGCCCATTCATGAGAAAACAAACCTTATTCATGAGACTCAGCGATTGCCATGGAAACCGCTCCCCTGCGAGGCCGGAGCATCTCTCTTTGCAAGGCACGACAGGGACCGCGGCCAGCTCTCCCCGTGTAAAACGGTGTGAAACCCCCAGAAAACAGCGGCTCTGGTCTCGCATGTCCAGGTAAACCACTCGAGCTCCTTTCATGTTGCATTCAGACACAGCCACTGCCATGGTGGACGGAAAGTCACCTGGAGAGGAGGTTTTGCACCGTCCTCCATCAAGACACTCTTGTTTTAATTGCAGCTGTCCATCGTGTGTTGCCTTCTACTGCATCACCTCCTGAGCTCCTTTAGGAGCCGATGCCGGCATCGGCTCAACACAGCCAGCTGGACTGCAGGATGTGCCGAATGCAGATGTGGAGCAGCAGAAAGGGCAATAACAAGAGTAACAGTAACGCTAATAACGTGGCCCGTGCCTCCGTGCTGAGAGCAGCGCAGCACAGAGCAGGTCCGTGGCCAGGACCAGCACACGGTGCCAGCCCTCCAGGAGACGATGCCCCGGAGGAGCCTTGCTGGCCAGCTGGTTTTCCTGATTTAACTCCTGCTCCTCCCCATGGGGCTGCAAGAGCTGCTCTGGGACTGCTGCGGTGACACCGCTCCCAGCCCTGCACTGGCGGGGAGCTCCTTTAGGAGCTCAGTCCCGGCTCCCCTTAAATTTCAGGCGATCGCTTCGGTCTGAGATTTCAGACAGAAAGCATCTCCCTTCAGGCACGAGTCCACGGCAAAGAACCAGCTTGGCCTATATAACCCAATAACCATGTTTTACGGAGGAAACTTCCTGCTGGCATTTCCTTTGCAGGGTTACTTTTGCTGACTCAGCATGCGCAACCAATACGCATGCAAAGTCCCTTTTATGATGCTACTAGTGTAAACCAGCACGACATCGTTACCGCATTAACGATGCAGTTCCCAAACTGGTAAATGTACCTTAAAAGTTTCACTCGGCAGGAATCAGAGGGCTCGGCCACTACAGGAGAAGAAAAACCGATTTTGTTCCTTTTTTAGATTGACAGCTAATTTTAAAGGGAGATTTAATGAGATCACGCACCATCACAGAGCCAGAGTTTGCTTTTGACAAGGTGCTTTTGGAAAGCTCTCAGTATAAAGATCCAGGATTTATCGCCCCAGCACCAAGACTCAAGTCCTCACTTGCACTAAGCGGCTGCATACCTGGAGAGGCAGGAAATCAGCAAGCAAAGCCCAGTAAATACTCTTATTTCCAGACTGGGATGGGGGTTTGAGCATGGCCACAGGGAATAGTAACAGAGCCACAAATAAAGCCACGAGCCTCTAACCCAGCCACGAAAAAATCCCCTTCACCCCAAAGCCCGTCTCATAGACAACGCACGGCTCCCACCGTCGCACCAAGGCAAGTCTGCCCAATTCCGCACCTTTTTTTTTTTTTTTTTTATCTCTGGGAAAACTGCTTATAACTAACATAGAGGCTGCTCTGAGCTGGGAGACGTGAAACAACCTTCCCTTTATCTTTATTCTTCTCCAGCTGGAGGATCGTTTCATTTATGTTTCATGGTATAAAACGCATGGTTTAGGACCCCAATAACTGGCTGGACTTTGTCCTCTGTGTGATGTTCCCAGGCTTTTCCACCTTTTGCTCTGACTTACTGAAGGAGCAGCATGTGCCTGCTCCCGATGTAGAAATTTAGCAGGAAAAAAAACCAAACCCTAAATCAGGGGTCTGAATAAAAGGTATGCATTCAGGGCTTGTCACCTTCTACATCTTCCCTGCCTGGAAGGAGGGATCTGGGGAGGGATGAGTTTTTTCCCCTCTGTTTTCCTGATAGGGAATCTAATTTTTTAATAGCAATAATGAAATAGTTAATGCCGACAATGGCATGGGGAAGATTTAGAGCAGCTGTCTTAAGAGTATCCAGCATTTATGCTATTTCTATCTTACAACAAAGTCCTTGAGATCCTTGCTGTGGGCTCCGACACTCCCAAATCTTGCTGAAGCCGGGATGTTTAAGGAAGACAAATCTTTCCAATTACCGCTCGCGCTGCCAGGCGAGTTCGATTTGTGGAGGTGTTGCTAAACTCCTCCAGCATCGCGCGGCTGCACCGTACAACACGATGCCCTGCCCAGCGCTGCCTGCCTGCCTGCCTGCCCACTAATGGGACATGCAAAGTGCCACGGAAACGGCTGGCGATGCCCTTCTCGATTGGCAGCCTCGGCATCTCCGCAGTTAGCTTTTCTCCGGAGTTAATGTGGTCTCACTAAGGGGTTTGCTGATTCTGCTGGAGGTATTTTTCACAGACGACAACAATTTGATAAATGAAAATCCTACTCCTGGCTGCAGAGGAAAGAGGAGAGGGCTTCGCTCGAAGGCAGGTGTATAATGAGGGTGGAAATGCAAGACCCCAACACGGGACCCTCTGCTCCAACATAGAATCATCAAATCACAGAAAGATTTGGGTTGGAAGGGACCTATAGAGGTTACCTAATCCAGCTCCCTGCCATGAGCAAGGACATCTTCAACTAGATCAGGTTGCTCAGAGCCCTGTCCAACATGACATTGAATGTTCCCAGGGATGGGGCATCCACCACCTCTCTGGGAAACCTGTGCCAGTGTCTCACCAACCTCAGCGTAAAAAATTTCTTCCTTATATCTAGTCTGACATGGGACGCTCTGCTCTGACACCGACTTCCACCATGACCTTTGGCAAGTGACGGTTGGACTTGATGATCTTGGAGGTCTTTTCCAACCTTAAAGACCTTAAAGAAATTCTGTGATTCTAAGTCACTTGTCCTACCTGGGAAAACCCAGGTGCTGGCATGGGAAGGGCTCCTGGACGCAGCCATTCTGGGGGGTAACTAGCCGCTGGCCCTACCCCAGGGCCGTATCCAGACCCCACCGCTCTGCATTCCACCTGCCAATGGCAGCTACGGGCACAGGGCTGACCCCAGCGTCACCGCCTCGGTGTGTGGAGACCCCCAGGCTGCCTCAGGACACATCCGTGGGAGAGAGGACGGATAAGGCGTTCAATGCCCAGTAATTACTGCCAACGGTAATTAATCAGTTTTCCATCTTTCCAGATCCTTTGCCTCGCAGCATCCTGAATGTAAGCAATGCCGAATGCTGCAGGGTCCCCCGGGATGGCAGAAAGCAGCCGTAGAACGAGGTGAGGACACTGGGGATGCATGGAAGGGCTTGTGTCAAAGCAGTGGGCATGAAAAATGCCCACAATGGGTTTCCAAGCCTGTTTCTGCTTTGGACTTCAGCAGCTGCTGCCTCACCCCCCGAAGAGCCCTTTGCCTTCGCTGTTACTACGGTGTTACACTCCAAACGAGAGCCCTGCGTGCTAATAAAGCTGCTCATTTTCTCCAGCCCACCGGACTTCCCACAAGATATGAACTGACAACAGCAAAACATTTTTCTGCTTTAATTGAGAAGTTTCCACCTGGCGCTCGCCCACCGGGAACCCACACCGTTCGTTATCTCCTGGATGATTACACGCAAGTGCGCCATAACGAAGAAGAGAGGATCTGCATCCAGGCTCGCTGAAATGCAGCATCTTCAGGTGTATTTTGGTACCCGGTGGCCATGGAGAGATACCTTAACGATATATTTAGTGGTGAATTCCTTGTGTTGCTCTGAGCTGAAGTGTAACAACTGTGGCTCTGATCTCCACGGAGGTTTAAGCAGACCAAACCCTCCAACAGCTCACGTTCGCTTCCCTCAGCTTGATTTATGTCTCATTTGAGGGTGGATACAAGAGCAAGGAGGAAAATGAGAGAGGCAATGAGGCAGGAGGGCTAGGAATGAAAGCACTGGGGCCAAGCTGGGGGAAAAAAATTATTCCGGTGGCCAGCTTTCTGAATGCCTAACGAGGATTTGGGTCTGATGACACCACGTCACATCACATCCATCTGCACCGTGATGATGTGCCACTGTCGGGACTCAGGGAGGGTGATGCAGCCCGAGCCACGAGCATCCCACCACAGTTTATAATAATTAATGTGACTATTTCTGCGTTACCTGAAAGGATTCACGCTGATCTACATAATGAAACACTCTCCTCTTGTCTCTTTTTATATCCTTGGAATGCGAGCCTTTTGGCAAAAAACAAAAAGCGAGTTGGAAGGGACCCAACACTCTGAGCGACCGCCACAGCTGAACTATAACCATGAGAAAGCAAAGCAGGGAAACTACCAGGGATGAAGTCCCTTCTGTGGCCAAAACAACAAGGGCTGTGGGCAACGCATGGGAAGTGACACTGAAAAAGCTGCCCTCATCCCACCCAATTTGAGGCAAGGCATAAAAATAGCTGTTAATCATGAAGACGCCTCTCAAGGAGCATCGGTAGGTAGAAGCAACCTCTCACAGGGACCCACTGGAGGGATCTTGGTGTGTAAATGAAATTTAGGACTTACCCTTTGCTCTTGGGTGGCCACAAAGGTCTGGAATCCAGGGGCCACCCCAAACCCCAGCTCCTGGACGAAGGGTGGCTCGGACTGGCTGTGAATCTGGACTTTGACTCCAGCCTCGAACGTTGTCTCCTCTGGAAGAAGAAGAGGAGAGGTTAGCAGGCTGTGGTGGGTGGGGTGGTGTCCACCTGCATGGGTGTGTTTGCTCCTCCATGCAAAATTATATCTGGTAAATCTGTGCTGCTCAAAAGCAGGAGATAAGCAGTTGGGAGTGCTCTACCTGGATAATCAGACTTCTGGGCATCGAGGAAGGAAACCCAGAGGCAGCATTTGCTATGAGCAGAGCAGACCCAGGACTCAGCCCAAATCACCACTGCTGCCCATCGGGACCAAGAGCATCTCCAGGCTCCTGGTCCTTACACCGCTGCCTATCCCAAGGGCTGACCCTCCCTGTAACAGAGATCCATGATTTCTCCAGCTCGGTCTGTACTCCCAACCTAAAGAAAACAGGAGGTGACATCTGCTTTCTAGTTGATATTTAGTTACAGAATGTATTCCCATATTACTAAAACAAATAAACTCCTCCTTCCCCCAAACAGAGATATTTCTACCATCCATAAGGTCTCCAATGCTGAAAGCATGGGTGCACCCCATCTCTGACGCAGCCTGAAGCCACTTGGGAGATAACGTAGGCAATTAAATAACAAAAACAAGTGTGTTAAATTCAAAGGACCTCATGTTTTTGGCACCTGAAGTTGCTCCAAGCTGGACAAAGGCATTTGCAGCGCATGGGCTCAGACAGATCGTGGAGTTATGGGTGATACGAGGTTTCCACACCCCAAATCTGTGCTGAATACCAAGTAACTCGAGGTCAGTTCCTCTCTTTCACTAGAACCTAAAACCAACCCAAAAGAGTCTTTCAGAAACAGAATTAATGGGATGCAAATCAGACCCGAGTGTGATATATGAGCACTTTGGGCTCCTCTTATCACACAGGCATCTCCACGCAGCTGGGGCGCGTAACCTCCCTCTCTTTAGCATTGCTGCTACGGTCTCAACAAACTAGAGGGAGCATATGGGACTAAAGGGTGGGGGGCTCATTTGCAAAGCAAGTTGTTAACTATGCATAATTTGGCCTAAAAATTGATTTAACCGCTAATACGAATCCATGCCCGTGGCCAGCAAATGCCACCTCTACATCTAAAGAGCTTCTGTTTAAAGATGAGTCACTCTTTATCTTCTTTGCTCACTATTTTCTACTATTTTATTACGCATTTCAATTTTTAACAGCATTATATCTGATCCAAAGCACTGGTAGAAACCCAGCACCAAGGAATCACAGCTGCAGAGCTGTTACACCAGGGGCTGCACAAGGATTTGCAGCAGGAGACAACAGCAGAAGACACCAGACCATGGGGTGATACGGGCAGAGGAGAAGGACAAGAGAAGAATAAGGTCATACTGGATGACATGAGGTTTACAGAGCTCAGGAACCCATCACTTAAGAGGATACAGCTCTGCTGACTCAATCGGGCAGCAAAGAGGACTTTCTTGAACCCTATTCACTTGGTAGCTCCCAAGGCAAAACAAAGCCAGAGGCTGCACGAGTGGGAATGGGCTTATGCACAGATCTGTCAGGCTAACCAAGAGCATCCACATACCTACCTCCTTTGCAGCCAACCATCCTCTGAGGCTTCAACACTGTCATGGCCAAACTGATCAAGTGTTGGTCCAAGAAGGTTGGACCAGAGACCTCCAGAAACCCCTGGCCAGACATGCTGCTGTCACCTTCATCCCCTACTGAGCAAACAAACCCTCCCTGCCAACCACAAACCAAACCACACATTTCATTCAGCTTTTGGGAACAAACAACATTTTAAAAGCCCCATCTGACAGCGACGCTGCTTTACACGTTGGCTACATGAAACTTCAGGCTCTGCACCTGCAGTGATGTGTCTATCATCAGCAGCATCTCCACATCTCAAGCATTTTATCTCAGCAGCCTTTGCAGACCAAGTAGCTGGAGGAGGCTATTAATATTTAACCTTTTAAAGCCCATTTTTTTTACCTAAGGCACAGGAAGACAATTTGGATATAAATAGGATTTATTAAAACAGTTACCTCCCCAGGCTTTGCAAATGTCTGCAAAATTTGAGGTGGGGACAGGGAATGAGCTTTCTGCGTGCTTGGTGGGGGCTCAGCTCCAACCAGTTGGAGTTGGACTTTTAACCAGTCAGAGATGTATTGATCCGCAAGGCTGTTGAACACACAGTCCCATCGATTGATGCCTTTGGTGCCCGCGCTCATCTGCCTGTCTCTGCAATGCTCCATGCACAGTCATTAGATATTTTTGCCTCCTTGTGACAAAAGTTTTTTTTTTATCTAAACAATGTCATGATTCAGGGCATGCAGCATTGCTAATTGCATGGGGTGGCACATGGCGGACGCAGAGCATGGGTGCCTCTCCTCTGAGATCTGCATCTTCTCTAGGGGACACCAGCACAGAGACTGTCAGGTTTTTTTGGCTTCTCCCTATGCTGAAGCCTCCTGGAGCAAGGCTGCATTCACCATCCTTGCTCTTGGTCTCTACTTCTGCTCAACACCCAACAACCACGACCTGAATCACTCCCCACCACCCCGTTGTGATGGGTGTTATGGGGAGGAACACAACCCTATTACTGGGACCCACTACAACAAAAACCTGCCTTTCCTTTGCCTTGCTCGGCCATAATTGGGCTCCTCTCCCTCCAAGAGATATCAGACGGATGTTCGACTTGTCCAAGCTCTCTCACTGTCTGCTCACACCCTGCATCTGCCCACCCACGGGGCTCTCATTAGAGGGTCTCCTCCCTGCCAGCATCTCCCTAGCACTGACCCTCCAAAACACCCCAGCAGCGAGGGTGAAGCCAGCTTTCCCCAAAACCTTCGGCAATGCAGAGTGTCCCCATCCAACCTCATCGCCGCTCAAGAGCACCGCAGCAGCCCTGGGCTCCACAGCTGATTCAGCACCCAGGTGCCCAAGCCTCACAGGCAAACACACACCAGAACGGGTTCAAACCCTCTCCTGAGCGCCCACCAACTCCCCCAACTTCAATCCCGATCCTGTTATCCCCCCGTGACGCCCACTCCTGCCATCCCCACCCGGCTCCATCGCTTTGCCTGGTGTTGATCCCCTTCCAACACTTCAGAGGAGATACCATATGCTTCCTTCAGTAATTACCTGACAAGTTGGAGGAGAAAGCTTCTATTTAGTCTAACTTGTTGGGCAACGGGAACTGTTTTGTCGAAACATTTTCCATGCAAAATTATTCTGCCCATTTCTGTGCCTGCCCTGGGTCTGTTCTGCTCTGACTTAATGCCATGTTCCCTGATTGGGTGCTGTGTCCAGGTTCATCTGCGGGTAAATCCCTGCATATTCATACCAAGAAAACAAGATATAGCCTGCAAGTACCCATAAGAGACTTAAAAGCAACAGGGTCTGGAATTTTAAATAGAAAATTCTGGCACGTAGCTATTTGCAATCACGGACGGGGAGGGGAAGGTATTTTCTAAGCCACAGAAGAAACTTTGGTTTTAAAACACAGAGTTATTAATTTTCATCATCGATAATAACAAGAGCAAAATAAACAGCTTTTCTTTTTTTTAGAAAAGCTGCCAAAAGCCAGGCAGCATTCATTGTTTTTCCTGCAAGAAACACATGCGAGGATGAAACTATAAACATGAAACCAGCTTTGAAAAACTGCCACTTCTCCTAAAAATTCATTTTCTACAAAATAGCTGTTTTCCACTAAGAGAAAAAAAATTAAAAGCCCAGCTACAAACCCCTTTGATGGAGTATGCCTGGATCAGTCCTCATTAGCTGCATCGTAAATGTTTCCAAGCTCGGTGCTGGAGCTCAGAAGCATCAGTGTGGGTTAAATATTTGCTGCAAGTGTAAGGAAAAGGTCTCAGAGAACCCAAAAGCTCAAGATCACCTGGTTTGGGGTGCATTTAACTTGCTAAAATGAACGTCCCTGGGCAGAGCAAACCCAAAAAGGCTCTGTGGCAAACCCTGTCTGTAACCCCACAACCGGAGAGGTGCAACCAGGGGTGTGAACATCCACAGAGACATGGGTCGGCCATGGTTTCGCCAGTTTTTGCAGTTTTAGCATCATTTTGAATGGCTTCTTCTAGCGGTACCTCCCGGAGGCACGGGGCTGAGTGCCGGTCCAGGTTGTCACTGCTGTTTTGTTAAGCCTGCTTCTTGTAATCACCCATCAACGGGGAAAAAAATAACTCTGAAAACCCTTTGATTTTAAAAGAAATTCCAGTGACTTGGGGTTTGGTCCTACCTTACGGTTTTTAAACAAATTTCGTGATGTTGCCCAACCACAGACCATCGTTCAGTCTCCAATCCCACTTTTCAGAAGACTTTGCTTGTAAATTCATTTCTTAGTGCATCCCAGGTTGGGAATGGAGTAAAAACTTCTTGATAATTGCATTTTTAAATACATTAATATACATTACTGTACACAGGACAATGTTTCCAAACAAATCCTGAGCTGCTCTTTTCACTGAAGGATTAGAGTAGCGTTAATTAAATTGGGGATTAATTCAGCATGTGCTTCAAGCTGGCTGCAGAGTATTATATGTTGCAGACTGCACAGCTTTCTATTTCTGGTGTTGGCTTTCCATGACTTCGTCGGGGCTTTCTGCTTAGAGCATCGCTCGAAAAATCTTAATAAAGCTCCAGCTGACTGTACGCTCGGGTGCGAGCTACAAAGTTCATCCCTGTGAATATGCAAGAAGCTGCAATTAAAATAAGAAATGCTGCCAAAGGCACGGAGCTACCCTTCTTCCCCTGCCTTATTATGTCCAAACTGATCCTCTTCTCTCTGGCAATTAACATCTGAAGCTGTGCTCAGCACTAATTTATTGGGAATTGAAGATCCAGCCCAAGTCACGGGTCGTTTGTAGCTGGAGCCATCATCTGCCAGCTCTGCCGGCGGTACCGGCAGCTCCGTGGAGGAGACTCCCGCTCAGACAAAACCAAAACAGATCCCACATAGCTCAAACTGAGAAAAGTAGATGGTATTTCTCAGCTGGTTCACATTCTGACTGTATAAGAAAGTGACCTGAAGGTTTATTTTGGGTA